ACGCACTCCGTGAAGGTATTTTATTGTAAGGGTCGGTTTTTTCGCTGTTCTTTTGCCATTTTGAGATTTCAATTTCCAGCGAAAGCTAAACTAAGAAGTGGAAGCACACCACGTGACGCATCTGAACGAATCACGTTGTCAGAAATTGACACCAGCCAATGAGATTTAGTTTTTTAATTTAAGACCCCTTTGTACTTTCACGATTGGTTGCTGATACAAAGGAAATGACCATATTTGGATCCGATGAGATTGTGCAGGAGAGACGGAGCTTTCCAACGATACCTCTGATGACATGGTGCAAACAGCGGTGGCGGTACTTTGTGTTACGTTAGAATGCTAACTTTTGGTGAATTTAGGAGAAATCTACAGACGGAAATAGACAAACTATTGTAAAATAAACACCTAAATGTTTTTTTTGTACGTTTTCCTTCCAAAAGCCTGAAAGAAAACATGTTATGGAATCAAAATAGCACAAAATCTCAAAATTGACCAGTGCATGAAAAACGATGTTTTTGCCTGCCGTGTCTCGCCTTAAAGCCTTTGAATCTTGAATCAGTAGTATATGCACATGTTGCCAGATGTAAAATAACTATCATATTTGTACAATCAATTGGCAAAAATGTTGGGATGCTTACAATTAGAAGTTTTACTGCACCATCCCAACAAAATATGGATCATACCTGTTTATTTGTGCATTTCTTCAAATTCACCTCTTGCTTTGTTATCATGATGTTAATCAATCGTAAGTCGCCGCCATTCTCTCATCCGCTTCTTGCCGTTAAATTCACGGTTTACATGTTCATTGTTAACCAGTTGTTAAGATTCATTCTATTTTCCATTCCTGGAAAAATCGTGAGATTGTATTATATTGAATTAAATAATTTTTGTTAAGGAATCGTTTATAGTTAAACTTCCACATAATGTAACATTGAATCAGTTAATATATTTGCAGTAGCTGTTGATATAAGGTAGCTCTAATATGGGTTGATGCATGACGTTCAGTCTATCATCACTTTTGCTTACCGTACCATTTACTTTTCATACAATATTTATCTTTTGGATGAAAGTGTACAGCTTGTTTGTGTGCTTAAAGGTTTTAAATGGTCATGCACATTTTATTCTGGGTCTTTGAAATGTTGTGGAAAAGTTCTCTCAAAATAGAATCATTTTAAACCTCAAGCACATGAGTGATCCGTTCAAACTGGATCTCAACTGCTTTAAGATCTTTATACCTAGACAAGTCATTTTGATCAATTAATCAATTTGCTTAAAAAAGATCACCATTGAAAGCACAAAATTGACTCACTGTGAATGTTTGAGTAAAACATTTGCATAAGTTCTTGAGCTGCATTACCTGATCTTTCTGAAATCAGTTTCAGACAAATATTTATGAAGTAGATGGCTAATTTCTTGAATTATATAAGTGTGTATGATCAAAATGTGAACTGTCGGGTGATGAAGTTGTCCTAACTTACATTTTCCATGTGTTCCAGTAAAAGGGAAGCGGAAGGCCAGCTCTACAGTAGACGTGTCCCCGCCAAAGAAAACTAAGCTCATCAACGATGGTAAGAAGTGAATAACAATATAAGACTTCATTCTGAAAGGTGCCCGAGTTCTTTCCTTCACACATTCCACTGTCTTATTTGTTGCAGGTTTTTGTCTCTTTGTTGGCAACCTGAACAAGTCCAAAACATTTGAGGAGATCAAAGATTCGTTAGCAAACTACTTCATGACACAAAGCGTCCTGGTTCAAGACATCAGATTAGACCGGTCCAGGTGAGAATCCTGCTCCTACTCCTCACAGAATTATTAGTGCTGCTACTAAACCTACTGACTTAACTAACAAATGATGTTTTGCTCTTGTAGAAAACATGCATTCGTAGATTTGG